TCCCCTCTGTGCGGCCTGTATGCCTGCACCCCTTTACCAATCGCCATTGCTCCCCTTGGAGTCCTTGGTGGGGGTGGTCAGTATAGTGGGTACTGCACTGTCCTTAGTGTTTTCATCCACTATGGACAGTTTAACGACTCGCATTGAACGCGCGTTGACGCAGAGGCCTCCTAGGAAGCACACTCTGCTGTCGCCTTCTCCTGTTCTTTCGGGGGAGTCGGAAGAGGAGGGGGAGATTTCTGCAGCATGGACTTGTCCTCACCCTGGGGATTCTTCCCAGCCGGATTCGGGCAGTGAGAATGATTCGGCGGCCACACTTATGATTCACAAGCACAAATTGGTCTCTGCTCTGGTCGGTCAGGGAGATGCTCAAGATTGAGGACGCTCTGAGTTTTTCTGTACTGCCGCCATTTCAGTTTGGGACGCATAAGAGTAGGTGTTCCACTAAGGTCTTCCCCTACATCGCCGCCTTTGACAATTTCATTTACAAGGAGTTGAAGCGACCCACTAGATCTTTCTCAGTGCCTAAGAGTTTCTCTGTTAGCCAAAATAGAAGATAGTAAGCCCCTCCGCACTCCTTACAGCGCTCCCGGCCCAAGTACTTGTAGTGGTGCTTGCAGTGACAGTCACTGATGACGCCGTGCAATAAACAGTAAAAAGTAGGAATCGCCAGCACTCGGCAGATAATTTAGATGTCCATTTAAGCGGACCAATATTCACATACAAAATGTTTTGTATGTGATGATTGGTCCGCTTAAATGGACATCAAAAATATCTGCTGAGTGCTGGTGATTCCTACTTTTTACTGTTAGCCAAAAAAGGCTCCTCAAAAGGATAACTAAGTAGGCATCTCCTCCCAAGGGTGGATCCTCTGGTCTCGTGCCTGAACAAGGCTATTGTCATTCTGGTGGAAGATTCTCCTTCCTTTCGGGATCCCACTGGTGGGGAGGGGTCAGAATAGCGGAGGCTGTTTCGCGTGCTATGTATTTAGTCTCGGGTGCTCTCATGTGTCCGGTTTTGGCCTCAGCTTTGGTCTCTCAGACAGACTGAATGGGCGAAGATGTTGCACCAGGGCCTCGTCGAAGAAAGAGTTTCTCCCGCCTATGTTTGAGCTGGCGAAACAGTGCAGTATGTTTGCAACTTGGCTTTGGATGCTGTGCTGTTAAGTGTCCAAACTGTCAGTGTCTGCTGTTACGCTTCGCCGGCTGCTTTGGCTTAAGTGCTGGTTGACTGATCAAGCTTCCAAGAAGGCTCTGACGGAGCTTCCTTTACAGGGGATCGATTGTTTGGAGATATGCTGGATGAGATAATTAAGGATCTGATTGGTGGTAAGCTAGGAAGCCAAAGGAACAACGTTGGAAGCTCGGCCCTTCCTTCTGCTCATAAGCGGCTCTTTTGGCCCCCTCAGTCATCCGAGACGGGCAGAAAGTTCTCCATGCCTCCCCCTTCCTAGGCCACCAAACGTCCAATTTTAACCTAAGTCTTCAAAGCCCCATGGCAAGCCCCCTTCTGCATGAAGCTCTGCCCCCATCTCTAGTTTCCAGAGTGGGGTGGCCGTCTTTGGTTCTTTGTGGATCTTTGGTTGTCTTGCATCTCAGTCACCTGGGTGCGGGAGCTGGTTTCTTCGGGCTGCAAGATAGTTTCTCGTCCCGGGGACAGGTTTTTTCCTTCCAACACGCGCCTCTCTCCGGGATGACTCGCGGATCTTAATCACGCAGTGCCGGACCTCTTGTCTTGTGGTGTAATCATTCCAGTGCCCTCCCCAAGGGGTTCAAAGGATTTTATTCAAATCTGTTTACCGTACCCATGGCAGAGGGGATTCGGCCTATCCCGGGTCTCAAACGATTGAACAACTTTGTGCGGGTACGCAGGTTTCGAATGGAATCTCAGATCCGTAGTGGCGTGTCTCCGTCAGTGGGATCTGCTGGCTTCAATCGACACTAAGCATGGCTACCTTCATGTCCCTATTTGTCACTACCATCAGCGTTATCTTCGGTTTGCGGTGGGGGAGAAGCACTTCCAGTTTGTGACTCTGCCTTTTGGTCTTGCATCAGCCCCTCGAGTGTTCAAGGTGTTGTCCCCGGTTCTAGCTTTGTAACGCTGTCTGGGAATCTCGATTTTTGTGGGATATCTGGACTACCTTCTCTTGAAGGCGGAGTCGCTTACCTCTCTGGTGGCAGTCACCGTGCGGTCCTTGGAGAAGTTCGGATGGATTTTGAACTCCCGGAAGTCCTGTCTGGTGCCGTCCCCACGCTTGGAGTATCTGGGTCTGATTCTGGACACTGTTCTGGCCCGGGTTTTTTTTCCCTCCGGGAAAACTTCTGAAACTCAGCTCTCACGTGAGGCTATTACTGTTTCGTCGGTGGTCGACTATACGTTTCTGCATGAAGGTGCTGGGCCTCATGGTAGCCTCCTTCGAGGCGGTGCCTTACGCACGGTTATCTCAGGTGACAAGTTTCTCTCGTTTGGTGGCTTCGGGCTTCGGTGTCAGGGAAATCCCTCCTACCCCTGCGCTGGACGGTGGTCACCACGGATGCCAGCCTTCTGGCCTGGGTAGGGGTCCTGGGCTCCTTGATCGCAGGGTCGTTCTGGTCTTTCGATCAACATGTTGGAACTTCGGGCAATCCGCCTATCTCTCCATTATTGGGCGGGCCGTCTTCAGGTCCTGTCGGTTCGGGTTCAGTCTGACAATGCCACGGCCGTGGCTTACATCAACCACCAAGGCGGCACAGGAAGCGTGGCTGGGATGCTCTCCTGAGCAGAGGAGCATGTTCCGGCTCTTGCAGTGGTGTACATTCCGGGAGTGGACTATCTCAGTCGCCAGTCGGTGGACCTAGAAGTGGTCATTGCACCTGTTGATCTTTCATCTGCCTTCACTGGGGGACGTTGGATGTGGATCTCCTGGCACCTCGTCTTAACCGGAAGGTCGATCGATTCATAGCCCGGGCCCAGGATCCCTGGGCGGAGGATGCCCTGGTGGCTTCGTGGGACCGTTACATTCTGATTTATGCCTTCCCTCTGCTGTATCTTTTGCCATGTCTTCTGAGCAGGATAGCAGCTGAAGGCAATCCCCATCATCCTCGTAGCCCCACGGACATGGTTCAGTTGGCCGTGGATGTTACCTGGTGGCTGCCAGGTGTTGGACCGTGGTTTGTCAGATGCAGTTATTTCAACGATGCTCAGGGCTCGCAAGGCCATTTCTCAAAAGATGTGCCATCGCACGTGGAAGGCATACTTTGTCTGGTGTGAGGCAGAGGGTCTGTTTCCGCGTTTTTTCTCTGTGAGCAGAATTCTTGCGTTTCTGCAACATGGGGTAGATCACGGTTTGGCCTTGAGCATGGTGAAGGGCCAAGTTTCTGTTATGACCTTTTTCTGCGGCCTTTGGTGTCAAAAGCCTTGGTTCGCACCTTTGTTCAGGGGGTTACATGTATTGTTCCTCCTGTTCGGTCTCCCTTGCTGCCTTGGAATCTGAATTTGGTGCTCTCGATTTTGCAGAAGTCTCCCTTTGAGCTGTTGCGGTATATCCCACATCTGAGTTTCTCCCAAATGTGGCCTTTTTGGTGGCTATCACCTTTGTTTGCAGGGTTTCAGAGTTGGCGGCCTTGTATTGCAAGTCACTGTTGTTGGTCCTTTATTGAGACAAGATTGTTCAGCGTCCTCGGTCGTCCTTCCTGCCTAAAAGGTTTATAACGGTGTTTCATCTGAATGAGAACATCATCTTGCCTTCGTCCGAAACCCGTTCATAGGAAAGAGAGAGCACTGCCCTGTTTGGATGTGGTTTAAGCTCTCAGTGTTTATTTGAATGCTACTCCTTCTTTCCATGAGTCAGATTCCTTGTTTGTGGTTGCGGAGGGCCCTCGGAAGGGCCAGGACGCGTCTTTGGCTACCATCTCTCGATTTGGATTCGTTACACGATTATTCAGGCGTATGCCATTAAGGGATGTGAGCCATCTTTTTCTGTTACTGCCCATTCTACTAGGGCTGTTTGAGCATCTTGGGCCTTTCGTCATGGTGCCTCTGTTTCTCAAGTTTGTAAGGGCGCTACTTGGTCTTCTGTTCACACCTTTGCCAAGTTTTATGAGGTGGATGTTTCGGTAGCTGCGGATGCTGGTTTGAGGCGCAAGGTTTTGCAGGTGGCCCTTTAGTGGGGCCTCTGTTGAAGATCTTGGTTTTGTGCCCGTTACTGCTTTTGTGACATCCCTATGGTACATGATCTTCGATCTGATCCATGTGTCCTTCAATGAACGGAAGATAAAATAAAATTTTTGTACTCCTTTTCTCTGTTCATTTAAGGACACAGGTCCCGGATTCTATATTGGGGCGCATACTCCTAACTGCTTGTTATTTACTGGAGACCTGTCAGCAGGAGGGGGGTTTGGCCACCAGCACAGGCCGCTCCTAGGCTCTTTGTTTTGTGCCTAGTGTCCTTCTTCTGCAGGCGATAATACCCTACACTCCATGATCTTCGATCTGATCCCTTTTGCCCTTCAATGAATGAAGAGAAAAGGATTTTACGGTGAGTAGAAAAATCCTATTTTTTGGTTTCGGCTAGACAAGTTCTGCTGTGGGAGGTGTTGCCGTGCCATTCATTTCAATGGCACCCCAAGCACGCCTCCCACCCACAGTGTAATCGCCGCCACTGGAACGCACGGTACCACAATGCCGTGAGTTCCAGTGCAGTACGAATGCAAAAAAATTGTGCAAGCAGTTTTATTCTGAGGTAAACTTTGTAACGCTGCATGTGTGTATTTTAGTTTAAATTAAGGATGGTATATATTTTAATTTAATTTTTTTAATCCTCTCGATCAATCAAAGAAAATGGCCAACTAATCGATTATTAAAATAATCATTAGTTGCAGCCCTAAACTGGTACATACCTGTACTTGCAGACATACACCATCTACGGAGCAAAGCTTTACATGTCTGGGACTTAAAGCTTAAGATCTTTTTAAAGTGTAAGTACAAAAAAATAAGTCTGTTTCTGTTGTGTTCTGTTGCAGGGTGGCTGTAGTTGGCAATGTGGATGCTGGGAAGAGTACACTTCTCGGTGTTCTGACACATGGAGAACTCGACAACGGCCGTGGTTTTGCCAGACAGAAACTCTTTCGACACAAGCATGAGATTGAGTCAGGTCGCACCAGCAGTGTGGGCAATGACATCCTAGGCTTTGATAGCCACGGACATGTGGTAAACAAACCAGACAGTCATGGAGGTAGTCTGGAATGGACCAAGATATGTGAAAAGTCCTCAAAGATCATTACTTTCATAGACCTTGCTGGTCATGAGAAATATTTGAAAACCACAGTATTTGGAATGACGGGTCACTTACCAGATTTCTGCATGCTAATGGTAAGATCAAGCTTTGGTAAATTCTGTTGTACAAAAATGTTTGTTTGATTAGGTAGTGCCATAGCATCTGTATTATTTTTGTTGTGTGGCTTTTCACCCCTTCATTCTGTTTTGCCCTTATAGAATTTTTGTTAGGTGCGCTTAGACAATTTCTCCACCCAACTATGGTTATGGCGTTTACATGTTAAAAGAAACATTTCATTATTGTGGATCTCCTCGTCAAAATGCTAGTTCCCTGGCTATCTGTTAAAATAGCTTTCTAAAACAGACCTAGTATGTATAAAGGAAGGTCAAAAGTGAAGATAGAAGCCATTCAGTTAACCTGTGGTGGGTTAGTCACTCAAAAGGCATTATAGCCAGAAGGTGGCATATAAGCAAGACAATTGGTGTTTTCTAGTTAAAGTGCATCTACGGTCATATAAATGTATTCCTTTTTTTTTTCATTTTAGTTGTCAGATTGTTTACTCTGATAAAATAAACAGTTTTGTATTTATGAAAACAGGCCAGGCCAGGCCAGGATCTGTAATTTAAGGCAATTTCCCAACTTATTTTCACAAATGAACGGATAACTCTTGCGCTAACTTGAAGACAAAATAAAAACAATAATTTACAAAAATATATATTAACTAAAATCAGATCAAAATAATAATCAAAATATAACTGGTGACAATGAGGAATATGGATCAAAAATTACAATAATCTTGATAAACAAGATAAAAAAAAAAAACCACCATAGGATATTCAAATTTTAAAGAAACAAAACTAAATAACTCTTGGAATGCAATTAGTAGCTTCTCAGTAGCTAAATAGAATGTGACAAAATAATGTGCAGAGAATCCCAGCCAAACAGATGTTCAAAACTCAAATTTCTACTGCGCATGAACTAACTCATAATACTATGCACAGGACTGGAAAATCAGCCAAAAATCTAAGGTAAAGATAAACTTCCACTAAGTTATTTTATTTTTATGTATATATCACAACTAGACCATCGACTAGAAACTGAAATCAGCTTCAAGGAGACTCTCTAAATATTTCTCCCAAGATTTGAAAGAGAGACAACTTTTACTACAGATAAAATCACTCTAATTCAATATTTGATGCTAACAATTACCAAATGGTTTAGTTAGATGTATATATATATATACAGGTGAAACTCGAATAATTAGAATATCATGCAAAAGTAATTGCAGTAAGTGCTGCAAAAGGGGCCCAAACCAAGTACTGAGTACATATGCATGCTTGTACTTTTCAGAGGTCCGATATTGTTCTATGTACAATCCTTGTTTTATTGATTGCATGTAATAATCTACTTTTTTGAGGTTGTGGATTTGGGGTTCTTGGGGTTTTCATGAGCTGTAAGCCATAATCATCACAATTATGACAAATCACGGCTTTAATTATCTTGCTTTGCATGTAATGAGTCTATCTCATATATTAGTTTCACCTTTTAAGTTGCATTAGTGAAATAAATGAACTTTGCACGATATTCTAATCGAGTTTCACCTGTACATATATGGCTAGTCAATTGCCTACAGATAAATAGAAATTTATACTTTTAAAAAATTGAAAATTCTTTTGTCTAAGAGATGTCAGCTTTGTGTCAGTGTAGGGACAAGAGATGTTCAGGTTCTATTTGGTTTTGTTTCCCCTGGCCATCAGCTTCAAATCTCTCCCTCTGTCTGTGTACGTCCTTGTGTATATTCTTTCCTTTTTTCAGTCTTTTTTTCGTCTCCCAGTCTTAACTTTCTTCTAACTTTTATCAGCCAAAAATGAGGGAGGAGAGAGCTTATCTCAACCTAATTATGACATCAAGAACTAAATCACCTTACTCCAAATTACTTGAAGAGGGCAATGTTGGACCAGGTATAATTTGGGATTTTTCCTTAAAATTCCAATATTATCCCATGAAATGACCTCGGACCTAAGTATAAAATTAAGAATTAATCAGATATCTTGACATACCTTGTCAGATTTACTGTCTCTTTAAGAGATGTAATAGGCTGAGAGAGTCTGAGCAATAACAATTCAATTTTCTTTTATATACATTGAGAATGAAGTAATTTGCACTAAGACACAGTGGTTACTCCCATTACTCCCATTCTTTCACTGATTACAAAATAATATACCCAACAAATGTTTCAATGAATGCAACCAAATAATATACAAGGGACCATAGCTTGAATATTGTATATATAAAAATTATAGATATCTATATAGATATTGTACAGGACACCGCGGCTGGGTCCTGGAAGGACGCTATATTTCCCCTCTGGACTGTGGTCCCTTTAAAGGATGAGACGGGGTTAACTCACCTGCTGGAGGAAGAGTGGGTTTAAAAGACAGGAAGTGGTAGCTAGCAGGTGAGGAGTAGTGTGGAGGAGGTTGGAGAGTGGGGATCTGTGTACTGCTGTGAGCTTGAATGTCATTAATCTTGCTTGAAATCTGTAGACTGGGAAAGTTACCCTGGAAGTCTGGGACTGTTTAAACTGCGATTGCAGCTCTGAAATCTTCATGTCGGTGAGACTGTTCTTTTGTGTTGTACTGAAGAGTTGCTGTTTGAGTTGGCCAGCTGGTCAGTGAAGATGACCTGTGTTGTTATGTTGCTGCTGTGAAGCTATTTCAGTTAATAAACTTTACTTTATTTGCAAAGCCTGTGTCCTGCGATCCTGCTGGATTCCCCTAACGTTACAATATATATATTTCAAGTAACTATTTAAATGCTTTATGCAATACTAATAAGACAATTGAAATTATTGTTAATACCATTCCTTTCAAATAATACTGTATATAAGGTAACTTTTATAGTGAGCTCTTTTTCCTATGATGAAAAAAGAATATCATGGTAGTCTCTTTTGTTATGTTTGAGACATGGCAATTCCATCAATCTCAGTCTAACACAGTCTGGAACCATGGTTAGTCCTTATCTCGTCGTTGTCTGGTACCCCCACAATTTACAACCTGGTAATGTACAGGTGAAACTCGAATAATTAGAATATCGTGCAAAGTTCATTTATTTCACTAATGCAACTTAAAAGGTGAAATTAATATATGAGATAGACTCATTACATGCAAAGCAAGATAATTCAAGCCGTGATTTGTCATAATTGTGATGATTATGGCTTACAGCTCATGAAAACCCCAAGAACCCCAAATCCACAACCTCAAAAAAGTAGATTACATGCAATCAATAAAACAAGGATTGTACATAGAACAATATCGGACCTCTGAAAAGTACAAGCATGCATATGTACTCAGTACTTGGTTTGGGCCCCTTTTGCAGCACTTACTGCAATTACTTTTGCACGATATTCTAATTATTCGAGTTTCACCTGTATGTGGCAAGGCTCTGAGAATCGCTGATGTTAGAGTCTTTGTCCAGAAACCATGAACTCAAATTCACCTTATATACTGATAGAATAGACAGAACAAAGATGGCTTCCAGGATGCCCATATTACATTATGTAGAATAATATGTATACGCCTTATAGTTTAATTCCTTTTTAGCCTCAAATTGTTCCGACATAGTTTTGGATAGTGTAGACGGGTTAGAATCCTTTCCAGGTTTTTAATAGAATAAAGTTTAAATTTACAAAGAAAATACCAGATGTACACAAACCTACATCGAGCTATAACGTCCTTTCACAAGCACAATGACCTCCTGAAAAAAACCCAGTGGAAATGAATCGAAAAGAGCACATCATGCACATCATTATACATTATTATTATACAGGATTTATATAGCGCCAACAGTTTGTGCAGCGCTTTACAATATAAGGAAGACATTACAATCACAATACAATTCACGACAAGATGGTAAGGAGGGCCCTGCCCCTGAGGGCTTACAATCTAAAAGGGAGGGGGAAGTGATACATGAGGAGGTAGCTGTGTGGGGATGAACGTGAGAACATGATGGTTGAGCGGTTAGGTTGTGGTTTGATAGGCTTCCCTGAAGAGATGAGTCTTAAGGGATCGCCTAAAGGCAGTCTGAGTGGGAGACAGACTAACAGGTTGGGGTGAAGAGTTCCAGAAGATGGGAGAGAATCCAGTGAAGTCCTGGAGGCGAGCATGGGAGGAGTTGACGAGGGAGCTGGAAAGCAGAAGGTCATTTGAAGAGCGGAGGGGACGGTTAGGGTTATACTTTGAGACAAGGTTTGAGATATAGCCGGGGGCAGAGTTGTGGATGGCTTTGTAAGTCATTGTTAATATTTTGAATTTTATCCTTTGGGCTATTGGAAGCCAGCGGAGGGATTGGCAGAAGGGGGTTGCAGACAGTGAACGGTTGGTTAGGTGAATGAGTCTAGCAGCTGCATTCATGATAGACTGAAGGGGGGATAAACTGTGTAGAGGTAGGCCAATGAGGAGGGAGTTGCAATAGTCAAGACGAAAGATAACAAGTGAGTGGATGAGTAATTTTGTGGTTTCATTGGTGAGGAAGGGATGTATTGCAAAGGTGAAGGCTGTAGGATTTGGATAGTCATTGGACTTGGGGAAGAAAGGTGAGGTCCGAGTCAAGGATGACACCTAGCATCTTGGCATGGGGGAAGGGTTGGATAGTTGTGTTATCGATCTCAAGGGAAAAGTTGGGGGAAGGTGCACGGGGCGTGGGGAAATATCATGAGCTCAGTTTTTGAAAGGTTGAGTTTTAAGAAGTGTTGTGACATCCAGACTGATATGTCAGTAGATTAGTGACACGCAAGGACACTGAGGGGGTGAGTTGTGCAGTAGAAAGATAGATTTGAGTGTCCAGTAGAAAGATAGATTTGATTGTCATCGGCATAGAGATGGTATTGGAAGCCATGCGAGGTTATTAACTGGCCAAGGGAGGAAGTGTAGATGGAGAAGAGGAGGGGTCCAAGGACAGAGCCTTCGGGGACCCCTACAGAAAGAAGAAGAAGAAGAAGAGGAGGAGGGGAGGAGTTAGATTTGTAGGTGACACTAAAAGAGCGCTTCGATAGGTAGGAGGAGATCCTTGAGAGAGCAGAGTCTTGTAGGCCAAGTGAGTGGAGTTATGCATAATATCAGAACGATAAGGTAGATTGAGGCTGCCAAACCATAGCTCCGAAATAGACAAGACTTATTCTGCTAGTTACAGCCTAAATTTAGGGTTGGCCACTAGTGGGGTTCATGTCATGGGACAGGGGGACAATGCAGAAGACCAAAAGGGGCAAAAGAAGAAAAAAAAAGACAGGTGAGAAAACAGACAGGGAATGTGGAGAAGAGAGTAAGAGAGACTAGGGGTAATCCCCATGTTGCATCTCCAAAGGGATGTTCATTGGTTGGTCAGGTAAAAATGCAGTCGAGACGAGCTAACAAAATGTATCCAGGTACTCCAGATGGCAGCAAACGCAAGGTTTCGGCCTACTAAGCTGGCAAACAGTTTCTTAAGTCTGTCGAGTTTACTTCTGTGACCCAGTCCTCATTGAGGGAACAAGCAGAAGCATGGATTCCCAGATTATGGAAAACATGTCCAGCACAGATTAGGAATCTGAGCTGAGATTAATAGGAGTGCAACTTCAGGGGTTTCAGGAAACCGAGAACCTGCTATTGATACACTGGCACTCCCACCAAATGTGGAACATGGTCTCCAGATCGACCCCACAGCACCAATACCTGTCAGATGATACTGGATGAAATTTAGCCAGGGGAGCATGGCATCAGTACCATCTGGCAAGAATTTTGTAGTTGCATTCCTGTATTTGAATAGCTCGTAGGGGTTCGTAGGCTGACCCAGCTCTCTCTCCCATTCCTTCATGTAACAGGAATGGTCAGGGAAATAATACAGGTGAGAAATATGGGATCCATCCACACGATTGAGGCAAACGTCTTTAATGGGTGTTGGTTTCCTAATAAGGGAGCCTTGAGTAGAGAGATAGGCAAAGAAGTGTCTTGACTGAAAATACTAGATCCATCTGCTTTGGCAATGCCCGGGCATAGAGCATAGGTCTGACATGCGTTTGAGGCCTGAGGAATTGAGACAGCGGAGAATCTGAGCCGGCCCGGAATGCTTTCAGTTGAAGAATCGGGGACAATTCAAGCCCATAGGAAATCTGGGGTTGCCCAGAACTGGGGTTATGGGACCAATGTGAGAAGTTACCTGGTACTTACAAATTGTAGTGCCCCAGACCTCCAGAAGAGGGGCTACCAAACGGGGAAGGGAGCTAGGGGGGTTGTCTGTGCCACACTTGAATCCAAGGAAGAGCTGTGAGTGGAACAAGGGTAAGACTTTGCTCTGCCGATGCCCATAACCTATTATGTAGGTTGGAAAAGCAGTCAAATAGCTAGCCCAATACATCGCTGCCTGATGGTGACATATTTAAAGATACCTGCTCCTCCCAGGGGTTTGGGTTTCACTAAGACGGCATATCATTTTTGGGCAGGAGCCTTAGCCCATATATACTGTAGCAGGGAGGAATGTAGGGTGCAGAAAGTGTTGGGGTAACCTAATAGGCAGCAATTTAAATAAGTAGAGAAGCCACAGCAGCATATACATTTTAAAAGCGGATACCCCGCCCACCCAGGAGTGTTGGGTGTCAGCACAAAATTGCAGGAGCTCTAGGGTAGATGTCAACAGAGGGCCATAATGAAGGTTATATAATTTGTTAACATTGCAGATATTTTAACCCCCAGTTATTTGATAGATTAGGAAGCCTATTTAAAAGGGTAGGTACTTCATAAAAGGTGTTGGTCATTGTCTGATATGGATATCTTTAAAGCTTGCGAATTTGCCATGTTGATCTTTAACCACTTCAGGACTGCCCACCATCAAAAAACGTTCTTTCCTGAAGTGGTTATACCAAGAACACGTGTATATAAGGAAACAAAAGAAAAGAGGAAGCGCCACAACCAAATGAAAACTGGTGGGTATGAATGCCAGTAGGCCGGACGGTGGATGGGCATAGAATGATGATTTTCGCCCGTTCTTGACAGCAGTTATTAATGGTGCCTTCCGGATGGTATTAATGTAATTTGAGATGGGGGGGAAGAGAACGTGATGCAAATGAACCTCGAGCAAAGTGTAGGAAATAATGTAGCAATGTAGAGACTCCCCAAGAGCTTAGGAATTAAGTGATGTCATTGACGGGGGAGGTGTTGAGCTGCTTCCAATGTTGAAGGAGATGACAGTGGCTCCTTTGGGAGAATTTAAGTGGGATTGAGGTAGATGTTGAGGTGGAGCTTGAGGAGGTGCTTGAAGAGTTACTGGCTTGTCTTTAATTAGTCTTTGTGCAACCATCGCAGCTTCTTTGGGTCCCCAGGTGACAGGGGTCTGAGAGACTCCATAAAGAGGTCCTGTCACATTATATTTGCTATTACATAGTGGGCTTGTTGGCTCTCTATGTGATGGCAATAAAGTTGAGTGTAAAAAAAGAAAAATGAAACTAACATACAAAAATGCAAAAAAAAAGTCCCCCTCCCCCAATGTGCACGCACATACAACTCAAACACGCGTTGGGTGCGCCAACGTGCAAAAATGAAAATTGCGCCACTTGTAGATCGCCACAAACGTCTGAGCGAGAGCAATAATTTTGCTTTGATAAACATTTGCGTAAATACCGTGTGAAATAAAATGCAACTTGCATTTTTTTGTTGTTCTACAGGGCCTCTGCTTTCAGGAAATCTACAATTGTTTGGGGGTCTGAAGCTGTTTTCTAGCTAAAAATTCAGATTTTATCATGTGTGTGCAAATATTAAGAAATTGCTCCGGACAGCAAATGGTTAACTTGGTGACCTGACCAAAAAGATCAAGTTAACATACGCTGCCAGGAAGAGCCCGGAAACCACTAGGCGGGGGTGTTGGACAGGGGTGGGAGCGGCTCGTTTACTGGCCCGAAGAAGCGACCGGGAGTGCCCCCTTTCATTGACTGGCCCCATCGGAGTGCCCCCTTGCGTTGGCTGGCCCCATCGGGGTGCCCTTGCGTTGGCCGGCCCCATCGGGGTGCCCCCTTGCGTTGGCCGGCCCCATCGGGGTGCCCCCTTGCGTTGGCCGGCCCGCCCCATCGGGGTGCCACCCTTGCGTTGGCCGGCCCGCCCCATCGGGGTGCCACCCTTGCGTTGGCCGGCCCCAATGCGGTAATTTAATAATCTGTGCAATTAACGCACACTGCCGGGCAACTCATCGACCGTGTTCATTTGAATGTCACCCCAAATGCACCTCCCGACCGCAATGCACTCGACTGCAACACAACGCCTGGTACTGCAGTACAGTCTTTTGCTGTGCAACATGGTTGAAAAAAGTAGTGCATGGGGTATGCAGTAGTGTGCATTAATCGCACAGAAGCCTGCAATTTAACCCGCCACATTGGCATGAACAGGCCCTCAGTGCCATCATATATTACTATCCTCACATATTTTTTTTTTTTAGTTACACAAACTAAAGATTTTTTTTTAGTTCAACCCAACGAAAAAAAAAGAGCAGATTCCTTCATCAACACTACAAGTAAGTTCATGGAGGAATCCCCACTGTTTAATTTGTATTCTAATAACTGCCACCGGCTGCTGTCAGAATACCTGCACAGAGGCAGCAGCTCATTGGTTGCCGCCTCTGTTTGTAAGAAGAATTTCCCCAACCAGCTCCTTTTACTTACACACAAAAACACACACACCTTCATATATATATATACACATAGCAGCTCACCTACTGCTAGTTAGCAAGGAGCCGTAGACAGAGATAGGGGGCAGAGCTGGGAGGAGGCGGGGAGTACGGAAGACTATACTCTTCTACTCTTCTACTCCTCAATGCAAGGCGAGGAAACAATGACATAATTGGTTGTTAGGAGCGCTGTGGTCCTAATAACCACTGACCTGAATTGGGGGTTAAGCAAAACAAATGGCAAACACACTCATCAATTTGTTACCAGCTTTAAAGCAAGGTGCACATTGAAGGACCTAAGACAGTACAAACAGCAAAAAGTTTTCCCAGCACACCACTCGCCAGCCAGTATGCAAAAAAACTTGTCTCACCGCTAAGGTTAAAAACAGAGGTTTAGATACATGTCTTCTGCAGAAAATGTGAAAGCCGCACAGCCGCGCCAAGACACCTCTATATATTGTGATTCCTAAACTTGCGGGAATCGAGTACCTTCTCGACCTCATACTCCTCTTTGCCATCCACTAGGACAGGAGGAGAATTCAGGGAAAGGGTTGTCTCGGAATGGTTTGAGGAGGGACCCGTGGAACGTCGGGTGGATCCTCAAATCCGATGGGAGCGAGAGCCGCACAGCGGTGTCGTTTACAATCTTATTAATAGCATACGAGCCTATAAACAGCTTGCTGAACTTTTTAGAAGGGGTTTTCAGGTTCAAGTTCCGGGTAGACAACCACACGAAGTCTCCGACTTCATATTTAGGAGCATTGCGGCGGCGAAGTTCATAGTACTTCTTCTGCTGCTCTTGGGCGGTAGCTATGTTCCCCTTTATAGTCACTAAGTTCTGCTGTAGGCAATCCATATATGCGTTAGAGGATGGGTTGCTAGAATGGACGATGTCCGAGGGCAATGGAGCCGAGTGGAACCCATAGTTGGCAAAGAACTGGGTTTTCCCGGGTGGAGGAGCAGGTAGAATTATTGAATGAGAACTCTGCCAGTGCCAAGAGGTCCAACCAATCATCCTGGAGGTAGGTCCAGTAGCAGCGGATGAACTGTTCTAGGCATTGGTTGGTACGTTATGTTAGACCGTTAGTTTGCGGGTGATAGGCACTAGATAACCTATGATCAATGTGCATCTTCAGGCAGAGGGCCTTCCAGAATCTGGATATGAACTATGAACCCCGGTCCGTGATGATCCTGGAGGGTACTCCGTGCAGTTTAAAAACTGTTGCAATGAATGCATCAGCAGTCTCCTGAGCGGTCGGCAATCTAGGAAGAGGTATGAAATGAGCCATTTTTGTTCAATAGTCTACAGCGACAATTATGGTGTTGTGGCCCTTTGAAGGAGGGAGGTCTACTATGAAATCTAAGGCAACAACCTCCCAGGGGTTGTTGGTAATGGGGAGGTTGGTCAGCAACCCGTACGGAGAACGCTTCTCATGTTTGCAGGATGCACAGACATTGCAAGTTGTTACATAGTTAGTTACGATCTGCATTTTCAGCCACCAGAAGTATCGCCGGGCCAGGTCCAGCGTCCTGTTAACGCCTGGATGACCCGCGGTTGGGGAATCATGTAGGAGTTTAAGGATGGTCACGTGCATGGTGGGTGGAATGTATAACCTGGAACCTTTTGTGGAGGAACCCCTCGGCATCTTGCAGGAGACCTGAGGGGAAAGAAGTTGAGGTTTGTAATTCAGCCTTGAGTTGGTGTTGGAGATCAACTGTGGTAGCCAATACCCTTTCAGGGGGTATTATGGAAGTGGGAGCACAATCAACTCTAGAGAGTTCTCCAATTCTGGAGAGGGAGTCTGCCTTCCCGTTTCTTGATCCCGGTCTTCAGGTTATTAGGTAGTTGAAACGGTCGAAGAAGCAGCTCCAGTGTACTTGTCTGGATGAGTTTTGGTCGTCTTGAGATACTGCAAGTTGCGGTGGTCGGAGTAGATAATGATGGGGAGAGGAGTACCTTCCAATAGGTGTCTCCAAGTTTCCAATTAGCTTTTTATGGCGAGTAGTTATTTTTCCCCTATGGGGCAGTTCCTCTCAGCGTTATTCAAAGTTGTGGAATGGAATGCAACGGGGTGCAAAGGGGAAGAGAGAGACTCCCTTTGGGACAGGACTGCTCCGAAGGCGAGGTCGGAAGCGTGTACCTCGAGAACATATTGCAACTTGGGGTTCGGCAACCTCAGTATAGGAGCAGAGGTAAACCGCCGCTTCAGATCCTCAAAGGAATGTTGGCTGCTGCTGTCCAGGCGAACCGTATCTTAGAACTGGTGAGTTTAGTAAGAGGTTTTACCCTGGCAGCGAAGTTCTTGATGAACTTCCTATAGAAGTTTGCAAACCAGAGGAAGCGTTGAAGGCCTCTTCGGGAACGGGGTACAGGCCAGTTATGAATACACTCCGTCTTCACGTCGTCCATTCTTATGCCTTCAGGCGAGATGACATACCCCAGGAATGGGACGGTGCATTTTTCCAATTTGGCATAAAGACGATGGGGTCGTGAGAGGACCCATCGCACATGTATCCGGTGTTCAATGGCATCGTCCGAGTAGATGAGGATGTCGTCAAGGTAGATAACCACACAAACGTCCAAGAGATCCTGAATATATAATTGATAAAACATTGGAATGTGGCAGGGGCATTGCTAAGTCCATACGGCATAACCAAGTACTCGAACAAACCGTACCTGGTCCTGAAGGCAGTTTTCCATTCATCACCGGCCCTCATACGAATTAAGTTATAGGCCCCCTTTAAATCCAATTTGGTGTAGATCTTGGCGGTCTGTAATCGTTCGATGAGTTCTGGGATGAGGGGTAAGGGATAACGGTTCTTTACTGTAATGGAGTTTAGCGCTCTGTAGTCTATTATAGTTCGGATGAAAAATTGAGAGTTTTACCCCTTGTGTGGCGCTTAACAGAGGTACGGGGAAAATGTGGAGGAAGGGGGGCAGTACTTGTTAGGTACACTGGTTCGCGCTTGTGGTGTGGAAATTGGAGACGGAAGCGCCACTACCTAGCGCAATAAATGTGGTAGAGTGAGGTGTAGGCGTAAGAGTTGTACTCACCTGAGGCTGGGTGAGTATTCGCTTGTAATCGTCCGGTGGTGGTCAAGAGGATGGGGTGGAGTGGTGGTGGTAGTAGTCCCTCTTTTTCAGGATGGCGTGGTGTTTCGACCCAGTAGGCAAATGGGGATACAAACACGAGGGGGTGAGGTATGCAATGGTGGGTGAAAAAGGGTTGAGCTTCTGTAACTCACCGTGGGGATAGTGGAGGGCGACTC